AACAATCAGGTTGAAACTGTACGTTACCGATTAAATTAGAAATAACCGTTGTTGGTGTTATACTAGTAAAATATCAATAAATCATACTATATTAAATAATTGTAGCAGAATAAACATAATTTTGAATTTAAATAAAAGCTTTTTTTTTTTTTATTATTTAATAAAAAGCTTATTTACAATCTATACTTAAGTAGGTACAATAAGTAAATGTTTATAATTAATAGAATATTTATATAACATGAGTACGTTTTTGATGAAACTACTCAGTAATAGCACCTCTGAATTTGAATATTTACATTACTTTTATATTTATTTATATTTTTTTATTGGTTTAATGAGTCTCTAGGCCATTTTCTTTTTAATCTTCTAACATTTAAGAGATAAGAGGATTTTTATTATTTGTTAGTTTATTGCGGAATATTTTATAAAACTCATGAACAAGTGTTTTAGGAGTTTAAATATGTAAGTCGTTGTGTAGCTTTAGATTTGTGACATATCACGGGCATCCAGTAATTACTTGTTGACTGATTGACTGAAAAGCTTCTGGTGGGCGGATGTTTTATGGTTTTGCTTGTCCCCGTATTTGGATACCATACGTCCAAACAGGAGCTAGCATTATTAGCTGGCATTATATATTAGAAATTAGTTTTTTAAACTAAGTTTGGATTTCAATATTGGGCGGAGAAGGTGAGGGCGCGTGTTGCATTGTTTCTTTTCTTTATGGTATGCTTTTTCCATGTAAATCTTTTGTCTATAGTTATTCCTAAATATTTTATTGAGTTTAAGTTTGTTAAAGAGTCATTATTCAGTATTAATGGAGGGCACTCTTTTCGGTTTAGAGAGGAGTTTACTTGTGTTGATTTAATTTAATTTATTTAGATTTTCCATTGCTTAGTCCATGAACAGATTAGATTGAGATGGTGTTGTATTTTTTGTGTTACTGTTTAGGGGTCAATATCGGATGATAAGATTGCTATATCGTCAACATATGTAGATAAAATGGTATCGTTAGTTTTTGGAATGTCGCTGGTAAATATGTTGTACAGTAGAGGTGAAAGGTCGCTACATTGGGAACTCCCGCTATTATTTTATGGTAGTTTGACATCAAATTTCCATGTCTTACAACAAAAAATCTCTCTTCTTGATATGATTTGAGTATAAGATAATAAGGGGCAGGTAAGAAAGATTTTAATTTAAATAAAATACCATCGTGCCATACTCTATCGAATTCTTGGGCTACATCAAGGAATGCGCCTGGGCACTACTGTTTAGTTTCTAATGAGGATGAAATGTAGTCAGTTAACCTATGAATTTGAAGGATTGTAGAATGGTATGATCGAAAATAAAATTGAATATTTAGTATTATTTTCTTTTCAGATAAAATTGGATATAGTCTTTTTAAAAGAAGTTTTTCAAATAATTTACCACATTTTGGTAGAATATTAATAGGTCTATATGAGTTAACTATATGTTTGGGTTTATCTGGTTTAGGTATCATTATTATGACAGAAAATTTCCATATTGGGGGAAACATGCTCTTAACATAGCATTATATATAATTGTGAGAAAAAGTATAGATTTTTGGGAAAACCGTTTTAATATTTTCTTAGTTATTAAGTCATATCCAGTAGCTCTATTTATTGGTAGTTTGTTTATTTGGTTTTTAATTTCTGCTGGAGTAATTAGTTTTATTGGCGTTGACATAGGAAAAGGACCATCTATAGAACTGGATATAAAATCTAGTTGTTCAATATTTGGATTAATGTTAGCATGAGGCAAATAAAAGCTTAACAAATTTCACCTCGTAAATCTATCAAATAATGTTTCTATTATATATTTTGAATCTAATGGATTTGCTACTCATGTATTATTTTGTCGTTTTATTTTCAACATTTATGATATTTGATAAATCACTTTGTGTTTTTGCGACAAATTTAATTTTCGATTATTTTTTAGAACATCGGAATATATTTCTTTACAAAATTAATGGATAATAATTAATTAATGGATATATTTAAGAAGTAGGTAAATGTTCAGGATCTTGTTCATATTTTTTAGTCACAAGGCTACGGGATGCGTTATTATCAGGGCACGAATTTCGGCCACCTCTCTTCCTCTTATATTATACCTGTAGGCCGTTAGATAATACGATGTTAAAATTAATGGTTTTTGATATAACGCAGTCATGATGATCGTTTTATGTGAACAGACGTTCATCGCTATTGTGATTTTTAACTATTAAACTCATACACGCGTGACTTCGTCTTTCCTCTCTCTATTTTTTCTTTAATGTACGTGAAACATATTTTGTTCAAAACCATCCGACCTCAACAGTCGAGTATCCGAAACGTCAATACTCCACACTTTCCAGATTTGGTTAATACAATAATGCTCAGTTCTACTTTGTGACGCGCAACGGATTAAAACATTATATTATTACACACGTCGGAGAATTGAGTTGCACACATGGTAAACCTCTTATGGTCTAACGTACTCGTCGATAATTGAAAGTTACCCGATACTACTGTGTAATAATAAACCGTATTTTGTTCCATAATTTTTATGTATTTCATTACTATTATTTATTATATTTTCGTATTACCATATGGGTTTGAGCTGAATCTATTTTATTTTAATTTTTGTTATTTATTAATATCCACGTCATCGCAAATGATAGGCGTTTCGCAATATTTGTACACAGGGAGAGAAAAAAAATCGATTTTCCATTTTTGAGATACTAAACGTTACCGCAAGGGAGTACTTTTATTATAATAAATGCTTTTACAAAAAAAAAAAATAAAAAAATATATCATCAGGTATAATAAGTAGCTTATCCGCCAGCTGCTGCAATATTCGTAGATTCCGTACATCATCCTTAGACACGTACCATTCTTTAAAGATATCACACGGTATTTTCAATCGAGTACGCATCGAATTTGAAAATGTCAAATAAAAGATGGAAAAAATGCAAAGAAATGACGGTTATTGGTTTTTCGTCAACTCATCGAATAATAATGAGGAAAATAACATTATATGACCTGCTTACACGTCACAACGTTTGTTGTGCACAACAATTTCATGCGATAATATAATTTTATATTGTAACAGAGTACGACTTTTATAACAATATTAATTGCTAAAATCTTGTGCGAGCGTCGATGATAGTACCTAGATATTTATCTTAATGATAAGCCACTTGGCTAACGCATATTTGATTCTCGAAATACGATAGTTATAAATAAAATTTGTTCTCATCCGGTCTAAAGTTTAGTTTTTTTTTCATACTTTCATGTCACTGTATTACTAATTTCCGAATGAAACCTAGGTACCTCTTTATTTTCTATTTCGATAATAATACTAATGAGAAAACTAATACTATTGACTTGAACATACTCCAATTGTTATATGATACGAAATGGTTAGTGATGATTATAAAGAAAAAAAAATGCAATGTTCAAAATATTACCATTTATAAACGAGATAGTTGTTAATCGAGTATTGTTTTACACTTTGCCCGTGATAGGTTATTACTTTTATTTATTTTTTTTATTTCTCTGTCGTAAATCGTTTGTTCGTAGTGAAGGGATTCGCAGCATAAGACTATAAGGTATTATATTGTACAATGATATGGATTTTGGAACTTAATCACTCTAAGTTTTTCAACGTTTCATCTTAAGCCGTCTATAATTAATTCGGATGTGTATAATAAAGGCCCGTTGTGCCAAGATTTCAGTCGAAATTCGTCTTAGAGTATCGCGACGTGAATGTACGTGCGTGTGTTTAGTGCGTTATTGTTTCGTGCTCACGCGCTCTGGTTATGCAATTCAACCTTCACCATGGAGTAGCAATGGATCGAAATTCATTAAACGATTTGTCTTAAACAATCGTGATTCCTGTATGTATACAGTGCACACCGGTATCAATGTAAACCTATAATATTTACGAGTTGCACTAAGGCTGTCTTGGTGATGATACACAATAAAATATAGGTCACGTATTCAGTGTTCCGATCTGTGATTTTAAGTGGTGCTCCGTTTCGTTCGGTAATTATTATTACAGAAAATCCATTAGAAGAGTGGATGCGATTTTTGCTATGGAACATAACGAGAGGGACGATGTCATTATTCTCGGAGTAATCATGTGAAAGCTTAACCACGAACAGGGTCGAATGTAAAAAAAAAAGGTTAACAACGGTGAATCGCTGGAAACAAAAATATTATGGTGATATCACGCGACGTTGCACAATTGTCGATAGTCAAAATGAAGAAAGATATGATTTTTATCAAACCAGGTACTTGGGATATTGGTCTATGTGGTAAAAATTCAAGCTATTTTCGTCCATTGACACCTTGTCGGACGTGAGCTGTGACTAAAATAGTCTCATTTGATTTATGTAACCGAAGTACTTCCAGTTAAACTATTGTAATCGTCAAACCACTGAAGTCTATTTCATCGCAAAATTTTTCAATATCTAATTGCTCAAAATATAATTGGTCGAAAGTATCACGATGCGTACTATATTTATTCACCTCTTCTACCTCCATTGTACTATTACGTTCAATATGCAGAAATTCCTTTAAGTCCTAAGAACGCATCAGCCGTCGCAGCAGTATCTCTTAACGTGTGTACACACTTTATTGTTACATCGCCAAGAGCCGAAACTATTTGGACCTCATTGATGCAGCCTTCTATTCCTACTGCGATCCTACACCCGACAACATTCGGTACACGGACAGCAATATCGATTCGGAGTAAAACACCACGTGATTCATACGGGATATTCATTCATAAGGGAGTCGGTGTTGTGTATCGTAAAGTTTTGTCGAACAATCGGTCCTGCATATAATTGAATTTAAGTCACGATTATGTTTTTTTGACTTTCCATACCGACTTCCGGAACTCGGCTTGCCCACGTTTTAACCGTTGTTGATACTACCGCGATAATACATTTATTTTTATTTATTTATTTATTTGTTAATTTATATATTTTTTTGATTTAGTGCTCTTTCATCGGGCCATCTTGCTCAGTGGGTCGCCGTTGAGCCCGTTATCGTTGGTCAGGGACCCAGTGCACTATGGCCATCAGGTGGCCAAGCTGGTCAACTGTTCGCCGGACTTGCAGCATATGCACCTGCTCAACTGTTTGCGAAACACGCCTTTGGATCAGCTGCTGAACACGCAGCTCCGCGTGCCAGAATTCACTACCGCGTTCGGACCAAGCGTGGATGGTGTCATCATAGACGTCGGTATGCCCGAGTCCGGCAGACTCGGGACACAATCGAGTAAGCAAACAACAAACCTATATCGATGAATTCCGATACCGTTAACTTTGCCGTCAATGCGCACAACTGCATTTATTAGCCTGTTTTGTCTGTAATGGACAGAAGGGTAGCCAGGATTTTTCTTCGGTGGGGGAGGGGCTGATAAATTTTTACACAGTGGTGGTTCAGTTTTTTGTAACCAATGCACAATATTATATGCATTAAATACCTACTACTACAGATAGATAAGTGATAATACTAAAATGTTTAAATATTTTTACTTTTTTAGCGATTTTCATAAACCATTAATATTATTTTTTTAATAATTCAGGGGGGAGGGGCTGCGTCACCCACCAACCCCCCTTCATTGGGTACGACATTGGTAATGAATCTATGACAATTGAGTTCAGACAATCGAGTGAAAGACAATTGAGCACGAGGAAAATTAAGCGTGAGACTTACGAGTTCAGTATTGAAAAAAAAACATTATACAGGCAATTTTATAAAATAAAAAAAATTAAAATTAAAATAGTTATCATCTTTATTTTTCTTGTTATTTCATCAATGCACCAATATGCTCGAACTTAATTTTCTTTACTCTTAATCGTTTATTTATCAATTTTCTGTGCTCAATTGTCGAAATACGATTTATAATACAACAGGCTGTAAGTATTCAAACACAAACAGTTATTGTTATTCACTATTAGTTACATCAGCTAAAATTCATCGAAAAAAATTCCCAGAAAAAAGCTTCAAACCAAAATAAACTAAAGACATACGATCAAGCAAAATGAAGAGATAAAAAAATGGTTTTCATATCAGCAAGTTTTATAATCTTGAATAATTCGGAATTATATTTACAATAATATAAGTTAATAAATACGGAAAAACGTATCATACGCCAATTTAAACACATCAGATAGATATATTTATTATATTTTATGATAAATTGCATAGAATTTTTGTTTGTGCTCAATTTAAATTGAACTTAAACTCATCTTAGTTTATCATTTAAATATCTGGTGTTAGGTACGAGAAAAAAGTTTGCATTGCGTTTAAACTTTTTATTTTATAATGTATATTCTATGAAGTGATAAGTAATCGTTGTTTTTAATTAATGGTATGTATATAGCATATTATGTTTATATAGATATATATATATATATATATGTGAATAATTTATTTTACTAAGAACAACTATAGATGATTCCGTAAGGCTAAACGGACAGTGGACAAGAATAAATAATAACAAAAAAACCTCAATAACGCACCATTACGGCAACTATGGTGCTCGGAGAGTATTGGTTACCAATGGAAACTTAATCCAAAGTGCCAAAGGAACTCGAAGGTGTTTTGTTTATCCCAAGAGGGCTCTTATCGTACATGCTAATGGGCCCGTAGAGGTTATTCTCTATAAGTACAGGTCGATTTGAATAAATGGGATTGGCTCGCAGTGCCCCGATTTTTGAATAAGCTGCTTTTATGCAAATAAATGGATAATCTACCTTAGACGACCAACAAGTACGCACGCACGTACGCGCAAATGTATACAAGTACTTATCTGTATGCATCATATAAAGTACATACATACATGTTCTTTAATATCTTATACATCTCAAAATCGTGATTCGCGTTAATTATTAAATGTATTGATTAATATAAGAGTATATAAATCACAATATTATTATATATTTTTAATGAAGTAAACTAAAGATTTGGAATAGTGGCTTAGTTATTGTCTCCTGCGGAAGAAACAGTTGCTTCTCAGAAAAACCATACAGTTCACGAACTGTAAAGAACTTCTATTTCATGGATTTTTCATATGGAACCATAAAATGTCTGTAGAAAAACATTTTTATTTAACAATTTTTTTATTTTTATTTTTTATAATAATTACGTAATATTATTTCTTTATCGACATAGTTATTAATTTTACACAGAAATTTGTAGAGTTTGAACCGGTGAATGGTCATTAATTATAATTACTTTTTGTTAAATCGACTAATTCACTTCATAGATCAGTGGTTCCATACTATATCGTATAACTAGGCCATATATCAGCATAACTTATATCTAAATTTTTGATTTAAGTGATATTATTACATATGTTTAATAAATAATGATATTTCTGGTTATAATAATATTAACAAAACTATATAAAAAATGTTATAATTACACAAAGAAAATTAATAGGTTTATTGACAACTTAAGTGAGCGAACATTTTACACTTTTAAAATATTTTAATGTATTTCCATTTTTATATTATAAATACAGAAATAAATTTTGAGAATAATGTAATGTTAAAATTATCCAGTTTTAATTCAGATATATCGAATCTTTTGAGGGGGACAAGCAAAGTCCAAAATCTTATTAAATTGTTTTTTAATTACTTTTATAATAACTAGATAATAACTGTCCTATCTTCAATATATATATATATACATATATGTATACATTGCTATTAGTGGAAATCGAAGCTTTTTTTACGAACATTTGATGATCCACACAACTAAAAAGGATGGGAACATTAAAAAAAGAAGTTAACAGAATTATTTTTGTTTTCAAAACGCTTTTTTATAATTCTACTGCATCACTTCCTATTATTGATGTTTCCGCACCACTGTTTATGCCTACTTTAGCAACTCTCGTTATGTTTCCTTGCCATTTTATACCATAGAAAAAAAAAAAAAAAAACATAAAATCAGAAAGGTTAGTACTGTCAGTATGTACGACTTTGGTTAGAACTTTACTTCTACGAAAAGTTATATCGTGGTAACGATTTAAAACGCGCATGCATGATGACAATACTTTTTCATGCGGCATTCATGTGAACAATGGATAAATTCGTATTCGTCATGATGGCAAGAGCATTTTTATAATGTTATCGAGAATTCGAGACCAGTTTATCGATCAAATAAACGCGTGTAGAGGATTTATAAACGCGTGATGGAGTTGCAAAACGAGTTGGTAGATTTGAGGGAGGGTGGAGGAAATAAAAAAATATCTCCTTCGGTTTACAATTCAAATCCGGATCGACTCGACTGATTGGAAACAAAAAACGGATCGTACTAAGGGATGTAATTTTTCCCGTAAACATGTGCAGTAGCTGTATTGCGAAAAACAAAAGATCGAATTTGGTGAACGGATGAGGTGAATATAATATATTCACAAAATGTCGACTGTTTTCGACAAAATAAGTTTTCCGCGCGCGTACAGTGTACCCATAACGAAATACGGTACATGGTACAATAATGAATCGTTATAGGACTTATAATAACTTATCTTCCATACGCGTGCACACACACACACACAAATTCACACAAACGGGCGCACACCCGTGATTTGACTAATTTCATTCGTGACAAATTGACTGCGCACCCACTCCTCACACTTCCTCGCACCGACGTTTGCCACCCCAGTCGTCACGAGTTCAAACGAGATGCGATTGCGCACGTCGCGATCCGCCACGCAGTTTTCTTGTCGCATTAACATTGCCGACGCGTAAATTTATACGCTCTCGCGTTGCACATATGTTATACACATATTTTACGACGTCGTTAAGACAGGGACACGCGTGAGACTTATAAATATGGATACGTATTGCTCTACATGTATATTTATATGTTTACCCATCGTCGGCGGCCGGATGACATCAAAAACATTCGCATACGTACAAACGCGTCTGGCGACACCGCTTTTCCGTGGCTGTAATGTTGTCCTACTGCACGAAACACGTAAATAACATATTTAATATCGTATTATATAGTCATCAAAACGGAAAATACGTTTTATGCAATACGTCTCCGGTAGTGAGATTTAGCAATTCCGGACGGACGATTTCATCAGAGATTCCGCAACGCAGACACGGGCCATCGCGTGCGATCGTTTGCAATGGCGGACGGGTGAGCGCTTTTCTCCGAACGGGGCGGCACGGTTATAGACGTCGTGCCATCACATTTTCCTCCACGAGCACTATTAGGGTGTAGAACAGGGTAAAAACCAATTTTTATCTACGATTGGCCTAGGCGTTTACGGTCAATTGACACTACAGCCTCGGCCCTTCAACTTTTAATATTTTATTTCTGAATCAATGAAACATCGATGCGTACAATTATTATTCCTCTCGGATACAATTAATAACAATATTTCTTAAGGGTAAACTGTTCTTTTCACGATGTAGATAACAATACGCTTGGCAATAGACATTTTAAAGGTATGCACACTGTATGTTTTATGCAGAAATTTTCTATAGTGATACCACAAGAAACGCTATTTCAACAATTGAGCTGGTGGTGGGAAAAAATTAGCCTTTCGAATAACTATTTGCAAACGCTTAAATAAAAAAAAAACTGAGATGATGCTTCCCTTACCATTACGGTAAACCGCCTTACAGTACAGGTACATTTATGAAATATTGATTACTTTCTTTCAATCCTGACGTTCTTAAAACTCTGAAATCGCGAAACAGTTGAAAGACATGACTAGGGAATTTATTTAGTAAAAAATTAAAAATATTTAAATATATATTTGTTTATTACTTCATAAATATTTATTTATAATATTATTTATAATATTAATAATTTATTATAATATTAAAATATTGAAATTGAAAATAAGATATAATTCATTATAATTTATAAATAATATATAATTCGAGAATAAAAATGTTTATTCTGTGTAACGAATACAAACGTTCGGGGTGGACGTGTGTATGCGCAAATAAAATAATACAAATATTTAATATTATGACAACTTGTTTATTACCATTTGAACTTTGAACATAATACAAATTAACATATATAAAGTAGTGTAATATGTTTTACACGAATAACAAAATTAAACACACAACAAAATGAATACATGTGATAAGTTATTTTAATAAACAAAACAAAATACACGTTTGTTGTTATAACACGGATAGACGTAGGTTTACGGGTATATTTACGTGTATGCGGCTCTGGTGGAAATCAACTGCTATATAGAACGCAGTGTTAGTGAACCACGTTGAAAATGACGACAGGATAACACCCGATGGTGACCAAATCACAAACGTGCACGGAAAGGTCCGAGAAGAACTTCGTGATAACCCGGACTATACACTGTGACGTGTACCGTGGTCATCGACGAATGTAATGCAGCGGAGGACGCGTTACGAATTATGGTGTCGACGTTGGTCCGTGATAGCCTGGTCTATACACGGTTAAGTGTACCGTAGCTATCAAAGGATGAGCGCTGCGGCGAAGACACCAACGGCCGTGACGATACGAACAACACCGACGACGAATAACGGCGGAGGTGACGGCGACAGTATTGACGACGGTGGGAAAGCACTATGCTCCTCGGCAGTAGTTACTGTCACACAATGCACGACACTCTGGTCTTTACACGGGTTAGGTGTACCGTGAGTGTCGATATTGAGTGGAGGCACTGGGCGTGGTATGCAGTCGACACTTATGGTCGAAAGGTTTTGCCGTTGGCTTGACACCGATTCCGAACTGTGACTGCAACGACTGCTTTCAGAGCAGGGTGATTGGTACGGCGATTTCGAGGTGTATATCAAGGCATCTATGGGCACACCCCGAGAGCAGATTTACATATGAAAAACATGATTTTGTATCGGTATTCTCCTCCTGACGGAATTGTGGGTGGTCGGTATGATTTCTGAAAGGGTCGATGTGAAATAATTCGTGACCCGAACGGGTTAAATAAACATAAAAATAAAGAAAAAATTCGACAGTTGAGTCGGGCGGCCGCTGTGTACAATCTAGATGGTGTGATAGCGCCATCTGTCGACTGTTTTCGGTCGCCCGACTATTTGTGTACTACGATTAGTCGGTGCGTGTAGTATCACCATTAGCCGCTACCTACTGCGCAACATGTGCGGGGTATCTATGATGTACCGTTACATCTGAATCATCCAGATATTCTTCATGGGAAAAACAATTAGAAACGACATATAATTTGAGATTTTCAAATTTTAAATTACGGCGATTCGATTTTAGTATTGCTTTATAACGGCTAAATTGCTGCTCCACATCAACGGAAGTGACAGATACATATTTCATGCAGGTTAATTCTTTTGAACTGTACTTTACTTCTAAATGGTTTTTTGGAGTTTTGTTTAATAGTATTTCTCTATCGACTTTACAACCTTAAACCCTGGGGTTTTTCCAAATATTTTTTGTAATTTAGAGTTTGTTAAAACTCCAATTTCTCCGGGAATGCGTTCTAATTGCTTAATGGCGTTATCTACTATTTCTAGGCTCTCAGTTAATGCCATTTTAGAAGTTTCTAATTTTGAAATAGTATCAACTTAAAATCCAAAATTAGCGGAAATAAGTACTAAATTGTTTTGCAAGTTTTTTGAAATTTGTACCTACTTCCTAAATAATATATTGTACAGACTTTACCACTTAATCATATATTTTCGTCCATCGTAAAATACTAAAATAAAAACGGAAATTTTACAATAATATACATTACCTATATTTATTACTAAAATATTTTTTTTATATTATTTATTTATTTGTGAATTGTTTAAAATAAAATTAGCATCAGTTCATTCAAAATGAAATGAAACGTATATATATGTCAATAATTCTTCGATATTAAAACTACATAAAAATATTTATTTAAAATTAAATCCGTTCCCTAGACATAACTAAAGGTACCTAACGACCTGTTTTTCGTTTTTTTTTTCTTCTTGTCATTAAACGTGGCTAGAGAATAAAAATAATAAAATTATCCTTTACGTATATTTCATTCGGCGTGTTATGAACGCGAATCTTGGGTTATAACAATTATGAATAACGTACGTACCTATTACGAAGACCTCTGGAATTGAACCGCTTTCAAACCACCATCAATATCACTCAATTTTCCGTCATTTAAATTTTATTCAATTCGAATCGAGTACATTTTGGCGCGTGTGTGCTTTTTATTACTTCCGTTGTATGATAATAACTCACGTTATTTAACTTTGTTGCCGTTCACTTTCATTTTTCCGACATCATTCAAGTACTTAGTGTTTTTTCATTTATTTTTTATTTTTACATCTCTACTTATGGATGTGATTCCGTTTCTGATGGTTAATAGACTTCCCATTTTCCGAGAAATTGATTGTTCCACTGTCGAGCACCGAATAATATCTATACGTGAACAGAAATTAATGCAGCGAGTAAAACTATATTCTTTGCGGATACTTTTATAATAAAAAATATATATTAACACATATTGTACATATTATACTATGTATTTTGTATAAGTATATTAGGTTAGTGTGTTTTTTATCTACTACTACTACTGGACACCGCGTCTATCTAACAAGAGTAAAAGCCTAAAAACAGCAGTTGTTGAATATTAAGATCAATACGAAATTAAATAAAAAGCACCTAAAATAAATATATTCCCTCTGCAAAGTGTATGCATTTATTCATTAGTTTTCGTGACTGGCAATTTTCCGAATTTGATTAACTTACGTTATGAACCAACATGACACATATGGGTATGACGTGTTAACTACGACTTCTGTTAGTAAAGACGATATTTCTATAGCAGTCTTCATTATTTATTAAAAGTCTGGCGTGAAATTTTCGAATAATCCATTTGACAGATATCGTTCATTATCTCGTCGTTTTCCGAAATGCACTTTCATAACTATATAGTGCATTATTAATTTTCCTTCCAGAAATCTTTTTAATTGTTTTGATATAGGTGCACTTCAAACTTAATAATTAGATTGATTGTATAACTTTTCATTTAACACAATATTTTTACCCGAAAAATGTATGAATAAATTATTTTTAACGAAGCTTTTAATTTATAATATACTACATGTATTAGATGATTATATAGTTTTTTTAGATAATCGAGCGTATGGTTGAAACAAATTAATGCAATGTGAGTAGTAGAGCCAATGAATAATATTATAAATATTTAGGGTGTTTAATAAAAAAAAAATTATTTTCAAAAAATTAAAAAAGTACAAAAGTCGCGATACCATAAAGAGAACAACGTTGAAATAAATCATAGAGTTAAAAAAACGTTGGTTCAGTTAACAAGAAAACGGTCATGACTTAACAAAAATGGATATGGTATACATTTCAAACTGCTTATTTTTTTTTCATCTTTTTTTTTTTTTTTTAAATAAAATAATTTCTAACAAACCAGAAAATTAAAAATATACCCATTTTAAACACATAATGTATTAAATTTTACAATTGCAGATAAGGATATAAGGATCAAAAAGCATTCAGAACTTTTTTTACGATAAAATACGAAAAATTTACATATCTGTATAATATATTACCACTGTGCTGGATAAAAAAAAATAACTTTAATAAGCTAAAAAATATGAAAGTTTAGCAATTAATGGTAACGTGACTTAGAAATATTGATTATCTGGAAAATATGAACGAATCCATAGGAAAAAATTTTCACGAGGACTGAATGTTACCAGTAATAAAAATATCAGTAAAATATTCAAAGAAAATGGATCATTGTGAGCAAAAAATAAATAAATATTGTAATTTAAAAGGTTTAAAACATACTAAGTTTGTATTATTTATTATTTTCAAAATGTTTAATTAATAATTAGTTATTTTAAAGCGAAAAGTATAAAATATTTTTAGTGAAAAACTTGGTAATTATTAACATCCAGAATTACGGTAAATTATGATACAACACCTTTTGTGGAAAATTAAACTTTTATGTTTATAATGAATACGAATAAAAATAAAAATAAAAAGATTTTTATCAAAATGTAAAAACGTAAATACGCATTTGGCTTATGAACAATTAGAAATTATTTAAATTAAAGATTATACAGTTAGTTATTTTATATTTTGCCTACGTTTTACTTTAAAGTCCCTGATTGCGTACTGTTGACTAGATCTCATGATCTAGTGTTGGTGATAGTTGTTATAAACGATAGTAACTATATCAAATGTATTCTAAAATCTAACAAACCGTTCGTTCGTTCCGTATTAACAAGCTTATTCTATATTCCAGGCGGCCAGGATAGTGTACCCGGCAGACCATCGGGAGATCCAAAAGAATTGGTGTTGGCCAACGGTTTCGGACCTGCCATTCTCGGGAATCCGGCTACTCGGCAAAAGTTACTATCCAGGTTGTCCAAATTCGATTTAATGTTGGGCGTGGTGCGAGCCGAATCATTTTTCGCTTTCACCGGTGACGATATCAAATACGGTATCGAAGCCGACAGGCGGACGAAAATTCTTAAGACTTACGTGAAAAATACGTACAAGTAAGTAACCACGGCTTTCATCGAGTATAATGTTAATATTTTCTATGATTTACTTAAGTGAATGGCCGGTATTCGTATTATTATCGATTGTGCTTTTTTCTTCGTTGTCAACCTAGAATGGAGTTTTTTTTTCGGAGCCTATATAGGTACGTCATAATGAAAGTTAGGTTTTTTTATAATGATCCGGAAATCGATTAAAATGTATTTACTAATAAATAGCTTTTAAAAAATAAAGCAGATACTTAGAAATCATTCTAAATAGGATAATAGCTCGTAAAGTAAATCTATCATTATTGTAATATCTTTATTTAAATTGACATTGCAGCATGATAGCTAAGTTTTACTTGTCAATATTAAATTATGGGTGGTATTACAATTGGAACAAATATTAGAATTTGGATAAGATAGCCAACACAAAGAATGAAATATATGATATAGAATGTGACAGGAGGAGGCTGAGAGTTGATATGACTGATATTGGTTGCATGGTTACCGAGGAGCCATAGGTAGGTACTTAAGGATTATCTGGAAATATAGGAGAATAGTCAATGTGGATGTAGTGGTAGAAACACTTGGTTTTTCTGGGATGGAAATTAATCAAGTTCTTGTACATCTATCATTATAATGAGTAGATTGAAAATGTTTTCCTGATTTCGTATAAGCCATTAAATCGACATATAATGTGTTGTTTTCACCTACGCAGTTACCATTTAACCGAGATATTGGCGACCATTGTCAACGAATATACCGACTGGGACAGACCGATACAGCATCCGGTCAACATCAGAGACGAGACTCTCGAGGCGCTTTCGGATGCTCAGGTTGTGGCGCCCGTGATCAACACGGCCGATCTGCACTCGACCAACCGGAGGAACTCGTACCTGTTCGTTTTCGACTACCAGACCAAATATGGTGACTACCAACAGGTGAGTTTGGTCACACGTTATCGTTCTTGTAGCGTTATCTCATAGATTAGAAGTAGTGCATACCAAGAAATGGCTATACTAATATTTCAATACATGAAAGAAATGTAAATTTCTGTAGTCGTAGTTAATATATCGAAAAAAAAATAACAAAAATCATTGAAAATTATGGTTTTGAAATATTTTTATTGATAAACATTTGATTTAGAATTTTATTTTTTGGTCTTTTTACTTAATTGCTGTGTTTGCATAGTTATTTTTTTCGAAATGAAATAATAACATTTACGTATTATATATGTATATATATGTGTGTATGGTGTATTATTTTTATCAATTGTTTTCCAATACAATCATTTAGAAAAGTATTATAGTTAAACGTAAAAATATTATGAAACCTTTTACGTATAAAAAAAAAAAAATTGAAATAATATGTGTTTTAACAAAGTTTTCATGGCTGCTTATTGACTGAATTTTGACACTAAAAGCGTTGTAATGAATATAAACTTAAAATATAAACTTTCAAATGTTAGTGCAGGATAGTTGAAGATCACAAAAAATAATGTAATTTTTCTTTCTATGAAAATTCTAAAACATTTCAATCAATTCAATTATAAATTGTTATATTTGTTTCATCTTGTTATCAAACTAAAGTTATATAGCATATACATTTTTTATGATCACGTCCAAATGCATTTCAGATCAAAGTGCAATGTGAAATATTCATAATCCATAGTTAAGAATCATCATACCAATATCGATATCATTGCTTTGCTCTGACGGAATACATGAAAAAAAAAACACTCTGATTTAAAACAACTAAAATTCGATTGTTTTTCACTAATTTCAAACGGTTTTATAAACATTTTCACCTCTGAAATCCGTTTTTGTTTGATTATTAATTTAATTTAATTAATGGTATACTTCACGATGTTATCAAGGTTTAATGTACGTGCAATCAATTACGATAACGGTAAATCAACGATACTGTTGTATAAAGCACATCCTTTTAAATATTTAAAACGCCGACACTATATTAAAATATTATGGAGTATATATTATTGGTGGTCTATATAAAATGATTTTCATTACGCATTTTTCGATATTAAAAACAAAAGCGGCACCGCGTTAGTACTTAAAATAAATACACAATACATTATTGTTATTATTATTAGTGTTATTATCATTATTGAATGTACAGTGGCGACCGGAAATTACAGATGAATCATTACGTACATAAAACAATACAACGTTATTTCAGTTTCCCACGTGGTATAAAATTATAATCGACGAGTAGATCGAATGCAATCGTAATAGCGTTATGTACGGCAACGGCTTTGACATCGAGTTTACCGCAAATGAATAGCAAATTTTCAGTTGTCTAGACTAGTGGTTCTCAAACTATTGTACGTGTACCCTTTAGGGATACATGAGATATTTTAAGAGGTACGAGTCTGGCCAAAAAATTATTAAATTTAAATTATGCTAAAAAATTTATTCAACTATTATTGAAGATGATTTAAAATTGTATTTTACTAAATTAAAACCCAATATTGATCAACTGTGCTAACAAGAACAAGCTCATTCTTCTCACTAATTTCTTTGAAAGTAAACTCTTTTTGTGTTTTACATTTTTTTTTTTTTTTTGTATTCGTTTTTAATAAAAATATAAAAAAGTTTTTAAATATTTTTATATTTACTAAGAAGTGGTAGCCAAACCTTTTTGTTAATAAAAAATGGTACGGTGTTTATAAAAGTTTTAGAAACCCTAGCCTAGACGAAACCACTTTCGATCGTCGTCACCTATGCGAAATCACTACCAGCACGTATAACTTCATAATCGGTAACATTTCATTTTCTTTCAAATCGTTAGAATATTTCGTAATAAGAGGTCATCATTATTTTTATGGATTCCAAGTTGCATCATCGCTTCTCGGCCGTTTTTGTTTCTGAGAAAAAACGATATGATAATTCCGCAATTATAATACGTTCACCACGTGTGCGTAACGAGACTTTTTTTTTCAAACTGCACACTAATAGTACTATGCATAAGGTTACTAACAAATATTCCGATGTTGAATATTTTATTTCAACTAATACAATCTTGGTGTTATTATTCAATATTAGTTTAAGTATATTGTCTCCGTTGTTCATTGTTGTGGTTATTTTGTTTAGATAGTTTCATCAGTCGATCTATGCAACCAGGACTGGGGAAAACTGATTTGTTCCGGGGGCCTCCATTCACCTGTTTATCCAAAATATACATACTTTTTGTACATATTTTTACATTTTTTAGTTCAGTAGAAGTATAAAAATTTGCATCTTACATTACGGCAAATAAAATTTTAAAATAATTTTGTATAAAAGGCTGAGACGGTGGGCCCCATTAGAGGAACTCTATTCATCCCTGCTCCATTTTCTCACCAACCTTGCATGCAACGTATACATTTTAATCGACTTGAAAATAACAATGGAAGGGAAATTAATCGAAATGCACCGTTAAAAATTTTTAAATCTTACATCGAATTTAAAGTTATTTTTAAATCTAAATAACAAAAAATTCGATTTTCTTTACGTCTCATTTTTTTTTCGTTATATTTTTTACTGATGAAAACTTCGATATTTTATAATATTACACTAATTTCCTTTTATGTATGTATAATAATAAACCATAAACGTATGGGTAATTATTAAAACTAATTTATGCATACGATAATAGCAGAGTATAATGCATCTACATGTGATTAAAAATTAATTATAGTTTATCGTCCTCTGAATATTAATTTATTTAAAATTTTATCAATTGTAAACACCAATGGTCTTAACTTCATGTTATGTAGTATTTTAAATTTCCTATTTTCTTGTTTCTTACCCACATTAACCAAATTAATAACAACATCGATTTTGTCCGTCAATAATATTTTGTTTATTCAGAAGTTCTTCATTGTTCTGATAAAAAAAAAAAAAAAAAAAAAAAAAAAAAAACAAATTTTGAGTATTATGAAATAGAGCCTATTTTATTTAGGTTCTTATAACGTCTAATATTTTTTTTTACATAGTTGTTCATTAAGTACACAACCATCGATGCAGTACGTTGTATAACTTTTATTAACATGTATACATTCGTATGTATACATTTATCACTAAAAAGAATATTGTTTCTCAAATGCAACGTTTCCTGACAGACAAATCAGATCCGATAATATAATATACCAGTTATTGTGTATTAAGAAAAAATAATATTATTATTTATTTTATAAAAAAATTCATACTTACATAATAGATTGTTTAGTTTGTTTAAAAGATAATAGCAGCAAGTAATATGGATATGCATTAATTGCTGGTCAAATTGAGCTGTCTATTCATATAGTTCACTGTTATTTTTGATTAATTACATCAATAATATGAATTGCCACTGAAATAAAATTAAAATATTTGAACCATAGTTATTATTTGCCAGTAATATTATACATAAATAATTTAATAAAAATAAATTTTAGTTTATTAATTTTAGATTGAACTAACCAATAAACTATATAAAAAAAATTATCGGCAAAATATGAAATCTAATTGCCATACACATAATAATACATATTGATGATTAGATAAAAGAACATTTTTAATTAAATTCAATTTTTTTAACCAAAATATAACATTTAAACACTATCAACAAATATAATATGCATTGAAATAATTAATTTAAACCTTAAATTTATATTTTAAATAATACGCATAATTTAGTATTTACTTAAAACGCATTCTGTGGTTAAACATTCAAAGAATAATAATTAACTAATAATTTGTATTCGATGTTGGACAATGGAAAACTAAAATTAACGATTAACCAATAACCACATGTTTTCAGAAACAGTTACCCGATATTTATTATCGTTTATCTACTAAGATAATACGTGATAAGACCGTATACCAGAAATCAGTAATCAGTGATATATTATGTAACCATGATGGTAAATTGTAATACGTTATTTTTATATTTTATGGTTGATTTAGCCGCGCTACTGCAGGCTAGTTGCTCACTGACCCACAGTGTTCTGGTGAGATTGTTGATAGGACATTTTTTTTTTTACAGTATTGTTTATCTATCTTGTTAGATACTTAAGACTTATTATCGATTATGACCGTTATGGGTATTGTTAAATTGAGATATCATTCCGTTTTGACTTCTGCCTTACTGTTGGGCTTGATAAATTGTCCAGTAGCAGCAAATTAAACGAATATTTAAACGATAATAAGTCGCAAACGGATTACTGAAATTAAATTCTGTAAACATCAAAATTATTTTTTTCAGTATATTTATAAATTTTCGTTATCAAAACTAGGTTTTGCCGTTTAAAAATTGATAGTGCTTTATCAAATATGAGAGGTAGTTAAAATTATCAAAATTGTCACACAGTGAAAAATAGTAAAACCTAGAAAGTTAAAAAAAAAATTTATTTTAAAATTCCGAATACTTCCCGAGATATTTACTAGCTCACGATAAAAATATTACCCTATATGTTTTATGCTCGTTACGAATGGAATGAAATAGTGGACACTCTATGACCAGGTCAAAGTAATATCGTCCATCTGTGATGGGCAAGACGGTCGAAACCACATATTACACGACGGACCAGCCAAAACAAATTTCGAACAATAGATCGATGTATAACTATTAGGGCGAGGCTGGCTAGAAAAAGTTATCACTGTTATCTGTGTTATAAAAATATGCGCGTTGCACTTATTTTATATCGAAATATACACCAGCCAGGACTATGAAATATTATAGTCGTGAACGAGGGCAATTGGATCCAATATGACCTGGGAGCGATCCGCGATCATTACTTAACCGATCACTTTCTGTATCGTGCTGCTCATAACGTAATAATTGATTTGTGCTCGAAATGGCCAACTGCTACCCGATTCACGCACCGACTGCACGTTACAAAGGCTACAGCTCTATCGGGGGGGGGGGGGTGTACGCTGTCCAAGATCTTGCACGACAAATT